TGCAACTCAACCATTTGTTTATTATGTCAGCATACCACAGTTCAGAATGTGTAACTTTAAAGTTTTGTTTTATATTGTATCATGTGTTTAAGAATTAACGATGTTACGGACAATACTATGATAAACCAAAAATTTTATATATTCAAATTCAGTTTTCATCTTTAGCACTCCAGTTGTTGAAGCCTCTATATAAAAGGACCTACTGCAAGTGAGATATTTTTATAAGAAGACTTTGGATATCAAGACAATAATAATCGATTCAGTTACACTACTCTCTTACCAAGATGGCAAGTGACAAGAGGATCCGCAGAACATACAGATCACTTACAATGAATCAGAGGCTAGAAGTTCTTCGACATTTGGAAAGTGGAGCATCCACGTCGGAATTGGCTACCAAATATGATATACATCCTGCTACGGTTTGTCGAATTCGACGATATGCAGCGACATTAAATCAGTTAACAGAGCAAGGGGTCGTGATGGGAAATCGCCGAAAATTACGGAAACCGGTAAACGAAGAAGTGGATAACCGTTTGTACGTATGGTATCTAGAACAATTAGCTCTTGGTGAGACGCTTACGGATTCACTGATGTTAGAAAAAGCAGTAGATATTCATACAGAGTATGGAGGACCCTCAACTTTTAAAGCAAGTAGAGGTTGGCTGTGGCGATTTAAAATTCGTCACGACATTAACACGAAAAGAGATGTGGACGTAAAAACTGCGAAACAATTTATGGAGAATTTTACACGTTGCATAGAGGAAACGAGCATTGACAAAGAGAATGTTTATAATTTTTGTCAGACCGGTCTCGTATGGAGAAACCTTTGTACATCGATTTTAGTTCGTAGCGGAATAAAAGACATTGACGGACAGAGACCAAAAAGAGAACGAGTTACTATAGGTCTTTGTACCAATACTACAGGAAAACACAAGCTAACACCGTTATTTATTAACAAATTTGCAAATCCAAGGGTATTAAAGTCTTGGAAGTATCATTTACCCGTGATTTTCAAATCGCAGCGACAAGGTTCCTTAGATGCAGGTTTATTTTTTGATTGGTATCAAAACCACTTCAAACCTGAAGTGTTGAAGCATCAAATGCAAAGCGGCATCTATGGAAAAGTTATTCTCATTTTGGACGATTCTCAGGGAGATAAAACGAAGTTATTTGAAGGACTTCAACCAGATGAACGCTTTCAAATTATATTTTTTCCTCAAAATACCTCTCAGAATCTTCAGCCAATGAATCAAATAATTGATGCAGTGAAGAAGTTATATCGAAATAAAATGTTACACCAAATTCAGAGTTTGCCAGGTGGAATAAAAGAATTTTATTCTAACTTCGACATGAAGGAATGTATTGATTTCTTACATGAAGTATGGTCAGAACTAAGCACTATGTGTATTCAAGTCGCGTGGAAAAACCTTGTTAAACAAAATTTTATAGAAATAGCAGCAGTAGAAGATCTTGGAAGTCAACTAGAGAGTGATCTACAGGAGACTGTTGACGTTATCACTACAGATCAAGAATCGGAAGAAGAAGCCGCTGACTTCGTAACAAATAGTGTAGAAGATGAAAATTTCTCCGAATGTAAAATAAAAATTGAACCTTTCAACGATACATGTACGGAGGAGTTGTCATCAGTTACATTGCCTGATGAAAGTGAAATCATGACAGCATTTAAAAGCATAACAATTTGGTCCAGACTAGAACCAAATTTTGTTAGACTACATGTAAAGCGTTTAAAAAAATACTACGACAAAAAGTGATATATTAATAATAATATTGATAATGGAAGTGATTGAAAGAAATAACTATGGAAAATAGAATAGGGTAAAAGTATTACACTCTCTG